TTGTCACCGAAGACATTTAACGAACATGTCGTGAGAATGGGCATTACCAAAACCCTTTATTAGTTTTATGCTCTTTATATTTTGACATTTTGGGCTCAATTTTTTTTGTTTCTGATATTTATAAATCTTGTTTTTATCGTTAGTGTACACTTTATGTTGCATGATGTTTCAACAAGATTTGTCTTTTAATAGACATTATGGGACCATGATGTTAATTCTCATTATGCTAAATATGTAATTGATATCGTGATACATGGAAGGGACTGTGTCGATAAATTGATGCACAAACGCCATGATTCATATTAATTTCATACTTATTAAATAATTTATGATTTAACCAATATAAAGAAGGATTTATCTTGTAGTATGTAATGCACTATTAAAATTAAGTGAGCCAAGTGGGAGAATGTTATATTTTTATTTATGACTCACATTTATTTTAATAACTTATGAGATTTATTTTTGATAACTTAAGTTATTAATTTTCATAACTCATAACTTATGTCATAAATTATGACAACTTATGATATTTATTTTGATAACTTAAGTTATTTATTTTCTTAACTCATAACTTATGTCATAATTTATGATAACTTATGATATTTATTTTTGTAACTCTATAACCCCTAAAATAAATAAATGTTACTAACTTATGTCATTGATTTTATTAATAAAAATCAATTAATTTATTAAATTATCATAAATTCTATTGGTTGGTAACCCCCTTGATGGATGGTGGATAAATAGAGCATGAATTTGAGAATGGGTCCTCTCTCTACCGAACACACCTCTTACATTTCTCTCCATCAGAAAGTACAGAAAGTTTTAAGGGATTAGAGAAAGAAACTCCATCTCTTCAAGATCAAATTTGTTCATCATGAATACAGGTATGCGTCGCTTTATTTTTACATATGTAAAAATCATGAATTTAAAAGATCTTGGCTATTATGTACTTTTCTTTTGAAATTTGTGTATAAAGTTGAAACATGAATTTTCTAACAATCGGTACACTCAACTTAGCTATTAGTGACTTCTTAAATAATCCATATAGTACTTGGAAAAAACTTCTCTATCATAACTACTCAACCTTAATTCTAGTTGTCTTCTTTGTATCCTATTCTCTTGTATAATAAATTCAAGATATTTAAGCTTATGTAGAGGATGGGTTTGGAGCAATGGTTAATTGCCTCCATTTTTACTTGAATGTCGTAGGATTGAGCAACAAAAATAGCCTCTTTATTATGTTCATCAACCTCTCTTAAACCCAGCACTACTTGGAACTTCAAATATTGGTTACTCCTTTATGATTTCTTCATTCGATGGATATCAATCTTCATATATGATATCAATTATCTCTTTAGTTTTGATTTTGAAAGAACTAAGAAGGCAACAATAATCTTTTGATCATTTATGTGATTCTTTTTTGGGCCTAGCATATATGAAGAAAGATTAAACTGCGATACTACTCTGAAACTAATTTTTCTGTTGTCTTGTTTCACTGAAATACTCTTAGAACTATTTTTTGTTGACTAATGTTTGTATTTTTTTTTCTTGCAAATTGAAGTCTACGAGATAACATCCATGGAGTGCTTTTACACCACAGGTAACTTGAGTTTGGTGCTTCGCCACACTTTATCTTAAAATGGTCCCTCAACTATTCAAATTTGTCCAATTTTGTCCCTTAGTTTTGCAGTGCTCCAATTTAGTCACCCAATTGTTGAAACTTGATCTCAACTGGTTCCTCGAGGCTTAAATTGGGATTAATTTGGTAAAATCCCGGCGCTAAATTGGGATCATTTTTGTGTCATGATTTCTATGTGACGAACTATTTTGGATAAATTTTCAACATGTGGAACTAAATTGGAGTTATGTAAAACTCTGGGATTAAATTGGAATTAATTCCCTTTATCTTACCATGCATATTATAGTTTAAATGGAACTCAGTACTTTATCTTACCATTTCTTAGTCTTTTTCGCACATTTATTCCTGATTTGATTCTATCAACGCAGAACTGCAAATGAACAACCTCCAGTGACATTCGCTTTAGGTTGTCAAGAGACATCTGATGTTCATGTTTCAGAATGTCCTTTCTTCATAATATCTGGAAATGCGCCAGGATTTACTGCGAGGGATATGTGGGATGAAATTATAAAGGTATGTTGAGGCATACGCCCTCTTTTAGAGTTTAATATGATTATTTTATAGCTCTTATTCGCTACAAATTTGTTCTTCATCTAAGATTCTGAATTTTACTTGGTCTTTTGATCTTTTATGGACTTTTGATTTTTGATGTGAAATTTATAGAACAAAATGGTGCTCGACACCAATGAAAGAGTGAAATACTGCTTATGGTATCAAAGATAATTTTTTATGGAAGGGTGGTGCAGTATTTGAGTAAACAAAGAGATATAAAAGTACGAAAATTGAAACCAAAGCCTCGCAATTGGAGAAAAATATGTTCATAATTTGTCTTTGATTATGCATTACAAAGTCGTATAAATGCTGGAATTTAAAATCAATTTAATCAGAAATATACATTAAATAGGATTAAGAGGGTGGGTTTATAAAGCTATTTTTTCCCCTTTGATACAGAAAATCCATTTCACTCTGGAACTGAGTTTGACAAGTTATTCAAAGGGTTCAGGTGGTTTGGGCTCTATGAAAATCCGCCCAGCTTTGATGAATATTGAGTCAATGCCCAGGTTGATTTTTAGAAGATAGATTGGGTATCAGATAAGATATTATTTGACTAAAATAAATTTATTGGACTACATGCACTTTCGACCACAGAAATAGAGATGCTTAGGTGTATTTGGCAGAAAGGGCATCGCGCCCAAAATTCCATCCTACCACAACAAAGGTTTTTAGGTGTATTAGAAATTCATCCGACCGCAGAAATAGAGATGCTTAGGAGCGTTTTGTTGTCGAAATCATTCAAAATCCCAACAGCTGGCTACCTTCTTCATTTCATGTTGTTTGCATGAGCAGGCAGTAGCTATAGCTTATAAGAGAGGTGTTGGCCTTTACAGCTCCACTAACGCCCACATCACTTTTTTTCAAAAGCTTCCTCTTTATATAACACTGAACATTTGTTGGTTTATATTACGAAACAATAACAATGATTATGATGATTATTATTATTATTTATGTGTTCAAGTTCTCTCAACAATTTTTTAGCCTCTTCTTATGCATGTGAGCTTTATATTTTGTTGACATAAAGTGAAATGAGGAATTTCTACTAGATTCTATATGGATGTATTTTGCTGATGGGTCTATCTCTTAATGTGAAAATTATCTTCTATCTAGTTCATGGTCATTTTTTAATGACATTAAAGCCTTAATATAGGTTTGCGAGCACTGATGTTATGCAGTCATCCTAGGAATTCTTTCTTAAGCTTTACAATGTTGAATTTTTACTCGCTTTTGATATATGCATGCAACAATATTTTGCACCATTTATCTTTGATTTAGTGTACATGGTCTGCTCTCATGGGTATTTTCCTTTTTTATCCTATAATTTGCTGTTTACTTCCCTTTTCCATTTTTTTTTGGTCCCTAACAGATTTTTTTTTGTGAGATTTGATTATATCTTCTGGCATCATGCTTTCTAATTTTATTATTATTATTTTTTTTAAATTGCTCCTTATATATTATTCAGTTGTGATAGTTTCATTCTCACAATGTTTTTTTTATTATCTAAAATACTTATTATGGTAAATCATGACTATTTTTTAAGGATGTTGAGGATTTGTAGGCACATATATATATTTTGCGAATAGGTTTAACATGTAATACATCTTTAATATTTCAGCATGGATCCTTTGATGAGCTAAATGGAAATGAAATACCAGCACTTTCAGCTCGTGGATCATCCATTGGAGCTGCTGTTGCAGCTTCAGTGAGTGTTCCTGCCCAAGCAGTTCGGAGAGTTACGTTTGCGTTGTCATGGGCTTGTCCCCTAATAAAGTTTACCAATGGAAGAACTCATCAAAGGTAATATTTTGGTACTTTTTCATGTATAATTTCAGGACCAAGCATTTTGATAGCAATTTATTTGCAGGCGCTACACCAACTTTTATGGTTCTGGTGAAGATGCTGCTGCGAATCTTGTGCATGATGCCATTATAGGTAACTCCTTTATAATTACAAAAATATCACATTCTGTTGGAAATTTATGATGTTTCTGCACAATTTATTTTACTTTTCACAAATAAGATACTATTCACTTTTCTAATGAGTTATTTATTAAGACTTCTATATAGTATTAAAAACCTTCACTAAAGGTTAATGGTGGTCACAAAAGTAGTTAGAATTACTATCGTTATTATAGGAAAGAAGAAGTAGTAAGAAAGTTTGTTTTGTTTATTCCCCAAAATAATACTTATACACAAAATTCCCAAAAAAAATGATTGGAAACCATTAATTACATAGATATTAAAAATTAAAACTACTATCTAAAATCTCTTATCTTAGCTGTTGGGAGAAGGGGATATTCATGGCACTTCTCTTTCCATATTAAAATCATGAATTTGTTACATTCCTCTTTTCATATTAAATGCATGAATGTATGGAATATTTTCTCTTATTTAGTAGATGAATTTGTGGCCTTTTTAATTCCATATTTAGTAATTCTGATAATTCTTGAAACCCCTCAAATTGAATGGCAGCGATACAACTTTGAGATAAAAAGGTTATTTTTTACTTGACTATGTTATCCTGTTTTTTCTAGGTAGTGTTCAATATCTTAAAAGTGGATCTCTCATCCATTGGTGATCCTTCATAATCAATATCAATATAATATTCAGTTTATAGTGTTTCAAAATTTCTATACAGAATCCCTTTTTTAGGATTTGATTTTATATCCCCAAGAACTCTGTGAGTAACCTGAAGGTTCAGTTTTTTTTTTTTGGGTACATAAAATGACTTACGAGTAAAAGTGATGCCATGATGAATTTAGGATTGATGGATTAATTTTTTATATTGTCCGATTTTAAATTCTTCTTCATTTTAGCCAAATTTTAACCTAATTTAGTTACAGTTCCACATAGCTTGCAAGTAATCATTTTGTATCTCACGAAAAATCTATAATATTTTTTGTTGAGAGAATTTTTTTTTTGTCTGACTAAGCTATCTTCATCTTTTCACACACTAAATAGTTAAGATTGTCCTGAATAATTTATTTCCTTTATAGTCATCACTTGTAAAATCTATATCAACATACACAATAAAAATTATTATTTTTTATTATGCCTTATTAAAAGTGTATAATTTTCTTAGTTTTGTTTGTATCACATTCCATACATAGCTCTTGTAAACCTGTCACTAGTGTACACTATCCTGAAGTAGATCTCTTATCCACTAGTTATCCCACATAATTAACATCAATATAATCTTTATATTATATGATTTCATTTTTTCTATAGAGAATATTTCTTTAGGATTTGATTTAAAATATCTAAAGACTCTATAAGCAACTTGAACATGAGATTCTTTTGATTTGTGTTCAAATTGACTTATGAGACTTGCAAGAAAAGCTATGTTAGAACATGTGTGAGTGAGATAGATTATTTTCCCAAATAATCTTTGATATTGTTTGATGTTAACTTCTATTCCTTCTTTATTATGCATTTTAACCTAATTCATTTGAAGTTCTATATAGCTTACAATCAATCAGCGCCTTGTTTTTCTTGAAAAATCCTAAAATATTTTTATTAAAGATAATTTTTTTCTTTTATAACTTATCCACTTTTGTACGCAGGAGTTCTTTGATAAGTTTTTTCTTTAATTTTTTTTCTATTATCATCATCACCAATAATAATTCTGTTATTAATAAGAATTGAAACATTTCCATCAGTAGAATGTTTTAAGTAGAGTTGAATCTCTTTGATTTTTTTTTTCTAGCTTTTTTAAATTTGTTAAACATGCTTCTGAAGATTATTTAATATCATATAGTGCATTTTTAATTTGCATATCGTATTTTTTTTTCAAACAATTAATTTGGGTGAGGGTCTATATAAACTTCTTTAACATTCATGTGAAAAGGCATTTTTTACCATATTATTGCACGGACTATCCAAATTTAGCAGCCGAAGAAATTAGGATGTGAATTGTATTCACTTCAGCAACAAAAGCTAAGGTACCTTGGTAATTTATTTCATAAGATTAAGTATAGTATTTTGCTATTAACCTTCACTTTATATCGTTCCAGCCTTTCAAGCTTTTGCTATTAACGTTCACTTTATATCGTTCCAGCCTTTCAAGCTTCCATCTATTTTTTATTTTAATAAGAAAACTCACTTGCATTCTATAATTATATTTTTTTCACACTTCCAGCAGCTCAATGATATCTCAGGTGTGATTTTTTTAATTCTTGTTTTCTAATCCCTCAAAAATAGTGTGGTCTTTCGATGGTTTTGTAGATGATATTTGTAATAAAGTATTTGTATAGGAGGAAGTTTTTGAAATGATGCTTATTGTTTATGGGGCACAAAGAAGAATATGTGATAATAGAATGATTCTTGCTATGGGAATAGCCTAACAAATATTATGAATCTTGTGCTTGTTGGAGACTTTGGATGGGCATTCTCCCTTTTTTAGACACTAGTATAGTTTAGTTCATTCTGGTGTTGTTTCTGGATGTGTACTTATGATACAACTGAATTTTTTTTGGAGCTAGTTTTAGAAATAAAAAATAATGTATTTAGATTCATTGTTCGTCATTCCATTCAATCATGATTGGACAATTAAAAATGCTTCAAAAACTTATATGTTTTCACTTATAACATGAATGTGTTTAGCATCTGTCGGTCAACTTTTTTGATTTCGATTAGATTTATTTGAAAAATATATGATATATGAAAATAATTTTTGAGATTTAATTTAAATATAAAAGATATATAGTTTGGGTTTTGAAAGCAGTATGTTTTAATTTTTGAAAAATGAGACCAAATGGATCTCATTGGTCTGATAGTTTGCATAATCGTGCCTGATACCGCGAAGACTACACCTTCCCGAGAGATAAGTGTAGACCTCAGCGATAGACCCAATCCTGCAAACTAAGAGATTTGTGACATCCGTTTGGTCTGCGAACCTTTTATATATGACCGACAAATTCCCCTATTTAATACAAAGATTAAATAGGGTTTATTTTACCTGGGTTCCAAGTTCCCTATAGAGGCAAGCCTCTATAGTTAATTACATCCCAAATGACGGGAGTCACTTGAGAAAACTCTCGATAATGATCAATGGTTCTAGTCTTCAAGAATTCAAGGTTCAGGTTTTCAAGGTAGGATGAGGAAAACCAAATGGGAGTGGCTCAAGTAGGAACAGTTCTTTCAGGAGTCCAAAGAAAGTAAAAGGTAGGGGATGTCACAGATCTGAGGAAAATCCCCAATGACTTCCCAAACTATCCTACTATGTGGCTATATTTTTGAAGACGATGTTATTTAAATGTTCAATCCTGCCAATTTTATTACTTAGGACTTACATTTGCATAATACCCGATTATACAAATAGCCCACAGAGAAATGAGGGTTTACATCGTA